TAAATAAGTACGAGGAACTTAGTGGCCAGAGGGTTAATCTGGACAAGTCTGCGGTTTGCTTCAGTAAGAACATTGTACCAGCAGACCAGGAATTTTTAGCTGCTATTCTGGGGGTGGGGGCGGTAGGGATACATGATAAATAGTTGGGGCTCCCGTCCTTGATAGCCCGTTCAAAAATGGTCACCTTTCGATATCTAGAGGAGAAACTGTTGGCCAGGCTGCAGGGTTGGAAACGGAGATCGCTTTCCTGGGCAGCTAAGGAAACACTGATAAAATCAGTCGGCTTAGCCCTCCCTCTGCATGTCATGTCTTGCTTCAAATTGCCTCTGGCTCTCTGCCGCTTGTTGGATAAGCATGTGGCCCGGTTTTGGTGGGGTGTTGAGGAGGGTCAGTTGAAAATTCGATGGATTTCGTGGAGAAATATGTGCAGGAGTAAGCATGACGGAGGGATGGGGTTTCGTCGGTTTGAACAGTTTAATCAAGCTCTCCTAGCCAAAATTGGGTGGCGAATTTTAAATGAACCTGAATCCCTTCTTGCCCAGGTCTATAAAGGGAAGTATTTTCCTCGGGGGTCTTTTCTCTCGGCAACAGCTCGGTCTAGACCTTCATGGGGGTGGCAGAGTATCCTTCATGGCCGAGAGTTGTTGGCAGAGGGGCTCCGTTGGCATATTGGTAATGGGCGTCAGGCTGCTCTCTTAACATCTAGTTGGATCCCTAATTTGCATCCACTACCTCCCAGATTTAACCCTCGTGTGATAGAGGAAGGGGTGGAGCTGAGGATGACCGAGGTAATTCAACATGAGGAGGGTAGGTGGTGCGAGGATAAGCTCAGGCAATGGTTTGATCCCCTGACCTGCTAGGCTATAAGGGCGATCCCGTTACCTCGTCAAGATATAGAGGATCGTATGGTCTGGCATGTCACCACTGATGGTGTGTTCATGGTTAAGTCAGCATATCATTTGGCGGTCACTCTGGATCAACAACGGGGGAAGTGGAAACCCACGGTTAGTTGGATGGATCGAGCTAGTTGGATCCGGTTGTGGGAAGCGGATATACCTCCGAAAATGAAAGTGTTCGTGTGGCAGATTTGTCAAAGAATAGACAGAGGCGTTAATCGAAAAGGAGGTCGAGGTTCATCCCCGGTGCATATGTTCTTGGATTGCATAGTTGCGCGTGCCATTTGGGATCAGTCTGGATTGGCTCACTTAGGGGAGGGATTGCCTCGGCATACCTTCCCACTCTTTTTGAAAAAGCTCTTGGCTTTGATTGACCGGAAGCCTCAGTTTATGAAAGTGATTGCGATCTTATGGAGGATTTGGAGATCACGCAACTGGGTGGTGTTTGAAGGTAAACAATTTGGGGTTGCGCCCTTGATGCGCCAATTCCGCCAGCAGGTGCAGGAATGGGCTAGCCTTCCTAAGGACCCTGCCCCCACCCTCCCCCTAGTGTTGGCCTGGCCATTGTGGGGGGTCCGGCTTCGGCAATTTGCATGTGGGATGGGGCGGTAAAGGTTGGTTCTCATTCGGCGGGAGGAATGGTTCTCTTGAATCCGGCCCTGGGGATTCTCCTAGTGAAAGGGATTCATTTCCCTGGGATTGATGATCCAGCAATTGTGGAGCTTCTGACAATCAGAGAGGCTATCTTATGGTGCGTTGAGCATGGTTTTTCTGCCGTGCGCTTTGAAGGTGATGCCCAGCTGGTTATTGAGAAGATCCGTCGGGGTGAAACCAGAGATAGTCGAATGGGGCCCATTCTGGAAGAGGTTGGCAACTTGGTGGTGGCTCATGCAGGATTTAGTGTTCGATTTGTAGGTCGGCGAAACAATAGGGTAGCTCATTTGGTAGTTAGGAAGGCCCTTTCTTTGTACCCGATTATGAGTCGTTTCTTTGACTTCCGGACCTGCTGTGTTCCAGGATGTAATTACCTATTTTTTGATCAATATATGATTATCTTTTGTATAAAAAAAGGTGTGCTGGAAAAGAATATGTAACCCACCCAAACGGTCAAATATTTCTAGCTTGATGAAATTTTGTAAGCAAGCCTATAAGAAAGAAGCGCAGGTATGACCCAACGGACATATGGGTTTTGGTGGTTTAGTCAAAGACCATTAAAGGACATATGGGTTGGGTGGTTTAGTCAAAGACCATTAGCTCAGCGAGGTTACATACATGAAAAGCAACGCAGCTTTTGTTGTCCCCCAATTAACTTGCGCTAATTAAGATTGTTGGCATTGGAAACAGAAGCTTGCAGCGCATTGATAAACACCCCAAATTCTAAAAGGAAGTATAAGAACGTTGAACATAAGACAATTAGTCCCAAAAGTCTAATTTTGCTTCTCTTCGGTAGTTGGCGACCTTTTCATTTGAGAATGTGAATCGCCACAGCGCTGCTGCAAAGAACAATGCACAGCAGCCTGGAGGGGAGAACTGCATATGCAGGCTCAGGCCGCACACCTCAAAAGTTGTCATAATGGCCTTCTTCGACCCACGCCAGTGTCCACTTTTTAGTTTTTACACACAAGACCAAACTCAAAAAGTCTACTGTCCATTCTATATTATTTTAACGGGTTAACGACACATTTGGTCACTGAGATTACTAAATCGGGACATGTTTAGTCACTAGAAAAAGTTAATATCAAATTTGGTCACTATAATTTACTAAAACAGGACACATTTAGTCACTCGTCGTTAGTTGCCGTCCAACTCCGTTAAAAGACTCTGTTATGTGCTGACATGGCTAACAGGAGCGCCTAGTCAGCATCATTTTGGGTCAGAAATGGTCAAACCCGACCCGCCACGTCACTAAACCTGCCATGTCATACACCCAATCCAACCCATGAACCAAACCCGACCCACTTAACAAAAGCAAACCCGCCTCACTTCTCCTTCCTCTCGTTCCTCATCTCCCCACCTCCACCTCTCACAAGCTTCCACCTCTCGTTCCTTATTCTCTGGATGGGGGAACAAAATAGCCAACGACGAAAGCAACAATTACCTTCTGATACAAAACAGGGGAGGAGTGAAAATAGGGGAAAGCGAAAACCAGCAACAGAAGTTCAATTGATGGAGGTTTCAGAAGTTCAATTACAACGTCGAGAGCTACGTCCTCAACTTCGATTGCGGGTTGGATGAGGAGGAGTATGACTACGTTAATGGGTTTTCAAGAACTCTGTTCTCTCGTCGAGATTAGGGGTTTCAAGAACCCAGGGGATAAGTGATGGGTGAGGGATCAGATGTTCGATCAACAATGGGGTTTCCATGGCGGCGGCAGGGGAGAAGTAGGGGATAAGTGGTGGGTGAGGGATCAGAGGTCCGATCGAGAATGGGATTTCTCGGATCTGGTTGGTTTCCATGGTGGTAGCGGGGGAGAAGCAGAGGATAAGTAGTGGGTGAGGAATCGGAGGTCGACGACGGTGGTTGGCGCTTCTGGGTTTGGAGGAGAGCTCGTGGAGGATGTAGAGCAAGTGTTGGACGCGAGAGCAGGTTGGCACCGATGCCGGCGGCTGCTGGGGGAGAGCAGGATCCTCATGTTGATCTGCTAGGAGGAGAGGGATGACAGAGTTGTTTTGGTAAGTGGGTCGGGTTGGGTTCAGGGGTTGGGGTTATGATATGGCTGGTTTAGTGACGTAGCGGGTCGGGTTTGACCATTTCCGGCCCAAAAAGGCGATGACTAGGCGCTCACGTTAGCCACGTCATCATATAACACTCTGTTAATGGAGTTGGACGGCAACTAACAGCGAGTGACTAAATGTGTCCCGTTTTAGTAATTATAGTGACCAAATTTGATATTAACTTTTTCTAGTGACTAAACATGTCCCGAGTTAGTAATCTCAGTGACCAAATGTGTCTTTAACCCTTATTTTAACCCACCAATTCCATGAATCATTGTTGTAAAAAAAATAAATTAAGGGATTGTTTGGAAGTTGCGATTGTTTTGTTGAGATTGTTACTATGCATGTATTGTTTAAAATACATCATTTTTTAAAAAAAAATTTAGCAGAAACAATACATGAATTGTTTTTGTGATGTGAAAGAAACTATCACTCATTTTGAGTAGGGATGGCAATTTCGACCTGACCCGTTTTACCCGACCTGTTTGACCTGTTTTGGGGCGGGTCCGACCCACCCCGTAGGCGGGGCGGGACGGGCATGGGTAGTCTCATCGACCCGACCTGCCCTGACCCGCCCCATTCTCGACCCGTTCTTGTCTAAATTACATGTAATCTTAGTCAAATTACTTAGAATTTTTCTTTTATTGCATCATATTTTAGCTATAATAAAGTTGTAAATTAGTAAAAACTTCAATTTCTCCAATAATTTAACTACAATTGTCATAATATTGTTTATTTTCTTAGTCTTATAATAAAAATAACGAATATTTCTAATGTTTTTCATATAAACTGCTTACCCATTGGGTCGACCTGCCCCGACCCGCGACCCGTGATCAATTACCCGACCTGGACCCGGCCTGCCACGGGGCGGGTCTGGGTACCAAGAAACCCGCCCCGGACCTGCCCCATTGCCATTCCTAATTTTGAGTGATTGCTATATTGTTGAGATAGTTGAGTTGAGATTGTTTTGTTTTACTTTTTAGCTTATGTGACATACATAATCATACATTCCAAACGTTGTATTCTAGGATGCATCAAATTCGATAATACATGTATAATATTATAGATGCATTCTCAACAATACATCTATTTAACAAGCGCAACTTCCAAACCACTCCTAAAATCCATTCATCATTGTGGCTGGCGTGCCTTCGTTACTTAGTGCTTCCCGTTGATTAATGTCTCCACAATCATGTCTAGAAAAAGGTTTCTTGCTTCTTCTATTACAAGAGTAGGGTAGGTCTTCATGATATTGTCAATTTGTCATTTTGCTCCCTTGCTCGCTTCCACTGTGGAAACAGAACCAAACTCATGGACTGTTCAATTTTAAACATTTACGGAATGTACCAAATTTCTTGTGTACAACTGCAGTGCAGTGCTGCATATTTATCACCACAAAAGCTGAAACTAGCAAAATGAAAAGCTAATTAAGCACGCAAAGGAAAATAAACCCATAAACAAGTAAAAAATAGTGCATGCCAGGGTATAGGTAAAAAAATCGCTATTTGGAGTTACATTACATAGTAGAATACAAGTACACTTGCAGCTGCAGCAGCAGAGCAAGTCAGTAGCAGTAGCAGTAGCCCACCCCCACTCCACTAACTTCCACTCTCTGCCTTCCACTTTCCTCTTTCCAGTTCTGCAGAAAGAAAGAAAGAAAGACACCATCTTTATACACATGTACGCATAATCTCAATCCTACTTCACCTCATCAAATAATCCAAGAAATAGACGAACCCATATGTTCAATTTCCTTTCTTTTATAATGCCTGCTACTCCCTCTTGAGCAACATTTCCCCCCAACTCCCTCTTTCTTTCTTTCTTTCTTTCTTTCTTTCCTCCCTTCCATTCCCATACAACAAACAGAAAGACAAAAGAAGAAGCATGATGATGAAGCCATTGGTGCTGTTTCTGCTGCAGCTGTTAATGTCATCATGCCTTGTGATGGTTGACTGTTTTGGTCCATGCGAGCTGGACAGAGTGGTTCAGCTGCCCGGCCAGCCGCCGGTGATGTTCCAGCAGTATTCTGGCTACATCACCGTCGATGAAAAGAAGCAGAAATCTCTGTTCTACTACTTTGCTGAAGCTGAATTCGACCCATTTTCCAAGCCGCTCGTCCTCTGGCTCAACGGAGGGCCCGGTTGTTCTTCTCTGGGAGTTGGGGCATTTTCTGAGAATGGGCCGTTTAGACCAAATGGGCAAGTCTTGATTAGGAATGAACACAGCTGGAACACAGGTTCGGAGCTACTTCACTACTCATACCTCTTTCTTTCTTTCGTTCATTCTGTTCTTGCTCAATGTGGTTTTGGGGAAGAAACAGAGTGGCCATGAAATTCTGAGTTCTCGAATGGGTGTTTTATATGGCAGAAGCGAATATGTTGTACTTGGAGGCGCCAATTGGAGTTGGGTTCCCTTATGCCGCGGATTCCTCTGCATATGACGGCGTCACTGATCTCATCACCGGTTCGTGTCTATCTAATCACACCCTTCTTTCTTCTCTGTACTTTTATGAATCAAAAGAATATTTATCTTCTCTGTGTTTTTTTCTGATTTCACATCCAACTTTACAGATAATGCTTAATGTGACAGAAGTTCTTCTTTACAGCCATGACACTGTTTTCCTCTCTCTTTTTCTTTAATTTCAGCTGCTTTATTTGTTTTTTGTCTGTATTCTGTCTGCAGCCAGGGACAATCTGGCCTTCTTGCAAAAATGGTTCCTCAAATTCCCGCAGTACAAGAACAGAAGCTTGTTCATAACTGGAGAAAGCTATGCAGGTACTTGAGCTTCCTCTGGTTCAACAAAGATAGCATCTTTTTTCCCTTATTCTGATGGTTTTAGTGGAACCAATGAACAGGTCATTACATACCCCAGCTGGCAGAGCTAATGCTACAGCACAACAAGAAGGAATATCTCTTCAATTTGAAAGGACTTGCTGTAAGTACTTGAAATTTTGCAAAGAACAAAAAGTAGAGGCCTTCCCATTTCATTACTAATTCTGTTCTATCATTTCAGCTGGGGAATCCAGTGCTTGAATTTGCCACAGACTTCAACTCGAGGGCAGAGTTCTTCTGGTCCCACGGCCTAATCTCAGACACCACCTACAAAATGTTCACCTCCACTTGCAACTACTCCCGCTATGTCAGTGAGTACTACAGAGGTTCAGTCTCGGCTCCTTGTTCGAGGGTGATGACCCAAGTCAGCACCGAGACCAGCAAATTCGTGGACAAGTATGATGTCACTCTCGACGTCTGCATTTCGTCAGTCCTCTCTCAAACCAAAGCACTGCGTCCTCAGGAAGTTGCTGAATCGATCGATGTCTGTGTGGAAGACGAGACTGTTAATTACCTCAACAGGGTCGATGTCCAGATGGCTCTCCATGCTCGTCTCGTTGGAGTTCGGAGATGGAGCGTGTGTAGCAAGTAATAATACATGGCCTCTCACTTCCTCGCGGCCTTGGAATTCTGAAATGAAAAGTTCCTCACTTTCTATCTGGGTTATTGAAATTTTGCAGCATACTGGATTATGAGCTGCTTGATTTGGAGATACCGACGATAGGGGCGGTGGGGAGACTCGTCAAGGCTGGAATCCCAGTGCTAGTTTACAGGTTAGGGTTAGGGTTGAGTGAGAAAAAGACACGGTTTTATGCTGATGAATGAAAGAGGGATTTATTCTGTTGTTAAAACTTTTGCAGTGGAGACCAGGACTCAGTTATTCCACTGACTGGAAGTAGGATGCTGGTGAACGGACTGGCTAAGGAATTGGGTTTGAGAACTTCTGTGCCTTACAGGGTTTGGTTTGCTGGGCAGCAGGTAATAACTAGGACAAGTTTGTACCTTTGTTGTGGAGTGGTATGGTGATTGTATTTGTTAGGGGATTTTGATTTGATGATGCTTTTTCTTTTCTTTTTCCAGGTTGGTGGGTGGACTCAAGTGTATGGGAACATCTTGTCTTTTGCTACCATAAGAGGAGCATCCCATGAAGCACCATTCTCTCAGCCTGAGAGGTCACTGGTTTTATTCAAGGCCTTCCTAAAAGCTCAGCCTCTACCTGAGGCTTTCTGACGATTGGTTCAAGTTGTGGAAATTGAATGTAGGAAATCTGTATAGTTCCTTTCTATTTTCCCTTTTGAAGAATGTGTTGGTAGTTTGTGAAGTGGAGTTCTATGAAACAAAGGAAAGAAATAAAGGGATTGGAAGTGCAGTTTATTTTTGAAGCTAGGGAACTCCTAAGGAGGTTCTACTGGAGCTTTTAGAAAAGTGGGGAACTACTACAAGTGGGGCTCCCACTTTCATTTCAAGAGAACTGAATTCCAAGGCTAGAATGGGTTTTGATAAGAGAACAGACAGAGTTAGGTTTGGATTGCTATCTACAGCAGCAGAGTCATCCATAGCTTCTTGTGGATCTTGCATCGACACAGATGCTATAGCTGGCTGCACTGTCCTTATCCTGTCAACATATTCCAGTCAAGCAAAATGTTTTTCTTCTATACGAAGTAACAAGCTTATAGTAGGTAGAATGGAGTGAAGCATATACCTGCATTTAAGGTTGCAAGTGTACTTCAGTAGGTTTGGATTGCACTCAGTTCGGCCGCTGCAATTTTTCAGTTACAGTAATCACTAATCAGTATCTCCTCAGGCCAAGACATGCCATATCATCAGCCAATTTTTTTCCTTTCTATTTTTGTTTCTTTTTCTTACCTGAAACTCGGTAATGATAACTTGATCTCTGGCCCTCTCCACCGGTCCAATTTCATCCCTGGAACTGCCATGAGACATTAACAAGAAGTAAGAAATGGAGTCATAGTGGATTCTAATGCAATTCAGGTTAGCAGATAATTTGCTTTACATAGAGATAAAACGTACCAAGAGTTGCGATGTTGATATTACAGGCGTTATTAGTTGGTGAACGAACTGCCATTTCTGTGACTCGAACATCCAAGCGGTCTGTGAGAGTAGACGCAGAAGCACCCAAGCCAATCATGTTGAGAAAGCCACTGGCTCTACTCTTCTGAGTCATGGGAACTGCCATTGTTCTCTGCTCCAGGAATCATTCATTGCATGATCATAAGGGAAATATCGAATATTGTCAACATGGAGAAGTATGGTAGAAGCTTCACCATAGCAATACTGAAGTATGCAAACTAACTGAGATCACACCTTTGAGAACTTGGCAACGTGACTCGGCAGTCCAACTTCCTGCAGTATGATCCAATTTCATTTAATAATTAACTTCACTTCATCTGGTTTTCCAGCCTTAAAGAAGGTTAACAGGAAGCGTGAAAGGATTAAGAATTAGGTCCAAATGAATTTCTGTGGCCACAAACCTTGCGTCCATGATGACATGCATCTTCACTGTTAACAAGTACCCTGGCTGCCCATCTGCAAATTACAGAATTGGGATCAAAGTTCCAACTAAACGTGAGTTTAATATTTGAATTCTATTAATTAAAGCCAACTTCATTGATATCCGTACTACGGACTACTAACTTACAAGACCAGGTGCCTAATGAAATCACTCGGTACATAAGAAAAACTCCAACTTGCTCAACTAGCCCCCACAGAGGAGGCAAGTTGCACAAGTTCTAAAAAACAATCAACTTTTGGAGATTGAGGATCTTCTGTCCAGGGAGGATTCATCTACTTAAAGGAAAAAACTGGAGCACAAAATATCCAATAGCTGCAGGGATCAAGATACATTGCTGTAGCTAGATATTCTCACTGCAATGCTTTTCTTCCCCTCCCACTTGTTAAAAAAGGCTTGTGTTTCATAACTGAAAACCATCTTCCATCATAAACAAAACAGGTAAAGGGAGAAGGTAGCAAGTACAACGTACGCGCAAGATGTTGGCGGGTTCCACACAATTCCAGCAATCACAACCAGCTGCAGGGGAGAAAACCCAACTACAACAGTTACTTCAACTCTTATCACAGGAATGATAATTCATTGGCCTATTAGGAAAGTTGGCTGCTTTCCTCTTTTGGGCAATTTCTGTGTTTTTAGATTAATAAAATCCACAAAGTTGTTCTGGAATAATAATGTGTGATGATTAGGTGAACTATTAGAAGATAAGGTGGGAACAGGAAACCTCATCGAAAGATCCAGCGGGGCTATCTTCATAGTTTGCGAGGAAGAAACCACCTAGAGTGTATCTGCAAGATGAACAAAACTTGAACTAATTACACATTGAACTCTACATATATGAACTAATTAAAAGCTCGTCAGGGGAAAAAAACCCCAATTACCCAAAAGCTTCAACTAGCTTGGACTCTTTTGGAATGAATGCTCGAGCAGTTTCTGCCTTGACGAGATGGAGCTGGTACAAGGCTCTGCAAAATGCAGGAATGAAAAAAGTAAGAGACATTAGAGAACTGAAAGCCCAAGAGTAAACAATAAAGAGTGCGAAAATTGGGTCGAATTGAGTCGGAGAAGAACGCATACCTGCCCTTGAATATCCAGGGAGGCTTGCCGTAGCCGCCATATGATGGAGAGGCGCTACATTTAGCTTCTGCAGAAACTTCCATGAATCTTTGTGGGTTCTTACTTACTGTTTTATTACAATAAACACAGTGAGTGAAGGCCGCAAATGGGAGGCTCAAGGTCAAGGAAGAGTGATTAGTAACAACACCCAGATTGAAGGAGAAAGGAATCGAACCTTTGGGAAAGGGAGAGCTTCAAAACTTGTGCCTCAAGAGAGAGGGAGAGAGAGCAGGCGGTGAAGTAGTTTTAGTAAAGAGGGAAGGGAGTGGGAGTGTCGGTGAGGTAAGCAATCATGGAGAGGAGTGGATAGGGAAGGGAAGAAGGATGCTTCGTTTCTCAATCTCATTTGTCTTCATCTCATCCAAATCTAATATTCTGCTGCCTCGTCATTCTTTGGCGCCAACTGAATTTTATAGCAAACAACGCTCTGCTATTACTACAGTCTACAGCAGCCCAGCCCAACCACATTGCTTAACCTTCTCTTTCTCCATCACATCTAGGGTGGCTCGGTCTCGAACTCGATTAAAACTCGTTCGATTAAAAAAAAAAAGCTCGGCTCGTTTATTGAGCTCTACCTTGTTCGGCTCGTGAAGCTCGTGAACTAGCTCGATTAGGTGGCTCGTTAATACAACTCATGAACTGTCTCGTTTTGAGCTTATGAGATGTCCCAACATTGTGACTAGAGAGCCAACTCGACTACAGCTTATGAGAAAATCGATCTATATTTTATAAGTTGGTATGTTAATGATGCATATAATTATTAAATTGTATATATCACCTCATATGGTGTTTAATACATGGAGTATATGTAAGCAAATATGTCTCATATATGAAACAACATTAGGTAATCACATGTATCGCATATGACATATAAATATTAGGGTATTTATATTAGAAATTATCTTAGAGTTGAGCTCAAGTCGAACTTTTGATCTTAATGATGTGTCAAGATTTAATAAATGAGCTGACTCGTGTTCGACTCATTTATAAATGAGAACCGAACATGAACAAGGTAATGCTCGACTCGACTCGGCTCATTAACATCCCTAATCACACCCTTAGTCCCACTCTTTTACTTTTTGTTAATCTAGTTTAGCTTTTCAGTTTGGCATATTAGTTAGCGCTCATATCAACAAATTACATAAATATGCCGTCTACAATGCTCAATAAATCGCCAAAGGTAAGATAGCCTAACGGTAAAGTTGCTGCGACAGAGAAAGTTTGGGAGTTGCAGATCCCAGGTTCGAATCCAAGCGAGGCCTGTTGTTGTTCCCGAAGGTATAAGGCTGCTGGGGGTGAAGCCCCCGTTGGCGTCGAATTTGATTCCAGTATAAGGCTGCTGAGTGTGAAGCCCCGTTGGCGTCGAATTTGATTGCAAGTGGCCCTTAGATCGCTCTCATCGTCCTCGCCTTCATTCCCTTCATCATCAGCAGGCGCCCTATTCAAGGTGAAGCAAAGGGAAGGTGAGGCGCTTAGAGAATTCTACGACCGGTGGATCTCGATCGCCATGGCAGTTAAAGACGTCCAGCCAGCGGTGTTGGGAGTTTGCCTGGATGCATGCACTTCAAGCGAAGAGCTATGCCGAGTCCTTTCTAAGCGAGACGTGGTATCCGCTGAAGACCTAGATCGGAGAGTGCAGAAGGTGATCATGTTGGAGGAAATGTTGGCTGCACGAAGAGCTGAAAAGAGGCGCCTAAGGGGTGATGAAGTGGACGTAAGACAGGCGTCCAGGCCCATGACATGAAATTTTGGTCCGCAAAGGAGGCCAGAGGCGCCGCGCCCTGTGCCAAGAATTGCTGCGAATTTTACGATGTACAATGATACACTCAAGAATGTCTTGCAATATGTGAAGGAAAGGGGCTATCATATATGTTGGTCGGGGCCCATGCGTGGCCAACCTAATGAGAAGAATCTTGACCGATACTGTGACTTCCATCGAGACAAGGGGCACTACACGCCCGATTGCTACCAACTTAAAGCCGAATTTCAAACTTTAGCCGATAAGGGCATGCTCAACAACTTTGTGAGGAGAGTGGAAGACAGGACCCATTGAACCTATGTGACAAGGTCAGCGCCTGAGGCACCAATGGTCCAAAAAGCGCCCGAAGTGCCAAAGACCCAGCAGGAGCATGTGATACCGCCGCCCCCTTTTGAAGTAGACCAAGAAGGAGAGCCAAGTCGCGTCAGGCTCACGGTTGAGTCCATAACCGGCACCCTCGACTTGAGGGAGAAATTGGAGAGAACTAGGCGCCTAAGGTCTGCATCGTTGGAGGCAAGGGCAGCGGTACACATCCACTTCAATCAAGAGCCGGATGAAGCATTCCAGGTCCCCTCGGAAGAGGCTTTGGGGATACAAGGGGTGATAGCAGGAGGTAAGGTGAAAAGAATGTTGGTGGACACCGGTAGTTCAATGGATGTCCTGTTCAAAAGCACGTTTGAGCGCATGCAGCTGGCGCCTGAGTTGGTGCGCCCCTCGAGCTCGGTGTTGGTTGGATTCTTAGGAGCGCCTGCCCAAGTCATCGGGCGCGTGCGCCTGCCCGTGACCCTCGTTGATGAAACGCAATGTGTAACGCATGTAGTGGAATTTGGGATCGTGGATTGCCCATCACCATACAATGTGATACTTGGTCGACCACTCTTAGCACAATTCAATGGAGTAGCGTCCACTTGTCACCAAACGCTGAAGTTTGTAGCGCCACATGGCATAGGCATCTCACGGGGAAGGAATGTTCCACGATACGCACGAGAAGAGGACCCAAGATGCCACGTCCTCAAGCACAGGGTTAACGCTATCGACATTCGCCTCGAGGAGGCGTCTCGAGCGGAGTCCGTGGATGATGAGTTTGTGGTGGCTTTAGATGAACGGCGACTGGAGAGACAGGTGCGAATATCTGCGCAAGCCCCTGAAGTGATGAGGGCGCCTTTGATCGAGTTGCTGCGGGAGTTTGGGGAGCTGTTTGTCTGGAGCACCCAAGACATGCCCGGGGTGTCTCCTGAGGTGGCAGCTCATAGGCTCGCCGCGGAGGAAGGCAAAAGGCCTTTCCAACAAAAACGTCGAAATTTGTCCCAATAAAAAGAGGAGGCGCTTCGCCGAGAGGTGGATAGATTACTTGAGGCGGGATTCGTGGAAGAAGCAAGATACATCACGTGGCTTTCAAACATGGTGTTTGTACCAAAGCTGTTGGGAGACTGGAGGATGTGTGTGGACTTCACCAACCTTAACCGAGCGTGCCCCACAGATGCATACCCCATGCCGCATATCGATTTGCTTGTGGACGCAACAGCCTACCATGAGGCGCTTAGTTTCCTCGACATGTTCTCAGGCTACCATCAGATACCTATGGTGGAGGAAGACAGGGCAAAAACGGCCTTCATGACACCCTTTGGTAATTTCTGCTACAGAGTGATGGCATTTGGGTTGAAGAACGCAGGGGCCACGTACCAGCGCATGGTAAACCAAGTTTTCCGCAAGCAGCTAGGGAGGAATGTGGAAGCATATGTGGATGACTTGATCTTGAAGAGCAGGAGGCGCCAAGACCACATCATGGACTTACGAGAAACTTTCGAGACGATGCGACACTTTAGGTTAAGGCTTAACCCTAAGAAGTGTGTGTTCTTAGCCGAGGAAGGGAAATTCTTGGGGTTCATGATAACGAGGCGGGGAATTGAGGCCAATCCCAAGCAAGTCGAGGTGATCATGAGTTTGGGCCCCCCTCGGACACCGAAGGAGGTGCAAGGGTTGACGGGAAGACTGGCGGCGCTTGGGCGCTTCATCCCGAGAGCCTCTGATCGGGGCGCCCCCCTTTTTCAAGATTCTGAAAAAAACCACCAAATTCAAATGGACCAATGAGTGTGATGAAGCTTTCGAAGACTTGAAGAGATTGCTCACGGCGCCCACGGTGATGACGGCGCCCAAGGCAAAGGAGGTGCTATACTTGTACATAGCCGTGTCTCACATCGCCGTGAGTGCGGTTCTCATATCCAAAGACCCATTGACAAGCGAAGAGAGACCAGTATATTATGTGAGCCGCACCATGGTGGGTCATGAGACACGGTACGCGCCCATAGAAAAGGCGGCGCTGGCAGTAGTGATGGCAGCAAACAAACTCCGACCCTATTTTCAGGCCCATAGTGTTGTGGTGCTCACAAATCTTCCCCTTAGGACAGTCCTGGGGTCTATGGACGTGTCCGGGCGCCTGGTGAAGTGGGCTGTGCAACTCAGTGAATTCGACATAAGCTATGCGCCCCGTCCCGCTATTAAGGCTCAGGTGTTGGCGGATTTCATGGCTGAAGGTGTAGTGGATGGGGGAACCAGGGAGGAGGAATGTTGGCAGGTGCATGTCGATGGAGCGGCAAGCCGAGCAGGAGCGGGAGCCGGTGTGGTCCTCATCAGTCCACTAGGTGCCTTGCATGAAGTGGCATTACGCTTCGCGACCCTTAAAACGAACAACGCCGTAGAGTATGAAGCCGTCCTGGTGGGGCTCCACATCGCAAGAGAGCTAGGTGCCTAGGAGCTTATGTGCATGCCGTTCGCAAGAAATGCGCTTGGTTCTGTGACGTAACATTCACACATGTCCCAAGGGAGGAAAATGCCCATGCAGATGCCTTGTCCAAGTTAGCGACGATTTTGGATTTTGAGGAGAATCGCACGGTGATTGTAACGAAGGAGGCGCCACGTGAGGAAATGGTAATGGCAGCCCTCGTGGCGGGAGAGAAAGAAGGGTGGATGGCTCCAATATGGTTCTTTCTCACTCAAGGAGTAGTACCGAAGGACCCAAAAGAAGCGTGGCGCTTGCGGCGGAAGGCAGCCCATTGTGCCATAGTCGATGGAGTGTTGTACAAAAGGTCACATTCAGGCGCCTATCTGAGATGCCTTACTGATGGCGAAGGCCTGGAAGCAATCAAGGAAGTGCATCAAGGGACTTGTGGCATGCACGTGGGCGCCCGTAGCCTTGAGAAGATTCTTCTCCCGCAAGGATATTATTGGCCAACGATACGGGCGGACGTCGGGAAGCACGTGGCGGCCTGCCACCAATGCCAGATTCATGCCAATGACGTACACATCCCGGCGACACCTATGCAAGGGAACGTAGGCGCCTGGCCTTTCACCCAGTGGGGCATGGACCACTTGGGTCCCTTTCCCAAGGCGCCTGGACAGTTCCAGTACTTGATTGTGGCGGTGGATTATTTCACCAAGTGAATAGAGGCAGAGCCATTGGCGTCAATCACCGAGTCACAAGTGCGGAAGTTCACTAAGAAGAACATCTTTTCAAGGTTCGGACTCCCGGAATCCATCATCACCGACCATGGGAAGCAGTTCGATTGCAAAAAATTCATCGAGTTTTGTGATGAGAATGGGGTGATCTTGAGATTCTCTTCCGTAGCCTACCCACGA